AGCGCTGCCCTGACGACGGCCAAACAAAGGCTGCAGACACCGGGCGGGCGGGCGGCAGGGCCGGGGAGCCACGGCAACCGCCCCAAACAAAACAGCTGCCCTAGTCCGCGCTCCACAGTGCCGCGCTTCTGCCGGGGCTGCCACGTGGAGCAGCCAGGGTCCCAGGCCCCACCACCCACCACCGGCCTCAGACCTGGCCCCCCAGGGGACCCCAGCCAGGGCCCAGCCCCCCGGGTCCCACTCCTGAGGACAAGGGCGTGCATGCAGGTCCCTCACTCCCGCACACCTGGAAGGGCTGGGTACCCTCCCTGCAGACAGGGCGCTCCCAGGCGGGACACAGGTCACAGGGCCCCCACAGGCAGTCCAGGCTGCAGGAGGGCAGCGGGGAAGTAGCCACGACCCCTCGCTGGGCTGGGGCTGCAGATGCCCGCTTCCCCAGACGGTGTCCATGCGGTGAGCTGAGGCAGATGCCGGGGGTCCAGAGCAGTTCAGGGCTCTGCAGCTTGGAGCCCCTTGTGCCTCAGAGTCTAGAGCCAAGCCTCCACCCTTAAATGTCCTGCTTTCTGGAGCAGGACCTGGGCCAGACAGGGCCCCCCTCCCCATGCCCAGTCATGGGGTGCCGGCACCCCCCGGGTCCCTCCACTGCCCGTGACTCCTGCACACAGGGTCTCCAGGGCCTGACCAGAACGTCCATCATCTGGACGAGCCGTGACCAAGGATGTGGAGACGTGAGATCTACGTGTGTGCACGTGTCTGGACGTATCATGTTTCCAGCAACAAGGACCTGGTGTCAAGTGGTCTTTCTTGGGTGTGGTCACGGGTGTGGACGGCAAGAGAAGGGGAGGGGACGTAAGAACGCCTTGCGTGCTCCCAGGAGAGGCTGAGCGCGGACAAGCACCCACGCATGCCACTGAGTCTCCAGGGAGCCGGTGGAGCCCAGGTTGTCACCCTTGCTCTTCCCCCAAGGCTGAGCGAGCGCACAGTGGGTCGGGCTCCCGGCTGCGCCCCAGGCACCCCGCCTCTCAGAGCTGCCCCCCAGCACCCGGTGGGCCCCCGCCCCGCTCCGGCGTTGCCTGGTTCAGACTCCCTCCTGGCACCTTCTTCCGAGGGGCTGCGGAGCCCTGGGGCCCCGCGCAGCTGGCACACGCTTACTTGATCTTGCTGAAGACGATGTCCACGTCGGTGACGGTGACACTCCTGCCGTCGATCACCTGGCAGTCCCTGCACAGTTTGGTCCAGTTCTTGCCGTGCATCTCCCTCCCGCTGGCCCTGGTGTCCCCATGCACCGCGAACCTCCGGAAGGCCTCCTCCAGGGCGGTGAGCTCCGGGCCCGCAGCGGCCGCCCCCTCACCAGCACCCTCTGACTCCAGCGACAGCCTCTTGGCCGCCTTGTCCTTGGCAGGGTCCCCTGGGGACTTGGGGGGCGTCTTGTTGGCGGGCTTGGCGGGCCTGGGCTTGCCGTCAGCCATCCTGCTGGGAGGAAGGGACAAGAGGTCACCCTCTGCAGCAGCTGCCCAAGGCCCTCTGCTGCCACTCGTGGACAGGAGGCCACCAGCGCGTGTCACAGCAGAGCCCTCGGGCCCCACGGGGGCAGAGCAACTGCAGAACCGCGGGCTGGTGAGCATCCACCTGCTCTGGACACACGTGGCCCTCCAGCGCCAGCGTCCCCGAAGTCAGAGCCTCAGCCGTGAGGCTCAGGGCCCCTCTCTGGTGCTGCCCAGGCACTCCTGCCCTGGGGACTCCCCAGGTGACACCCTTCCCAGCATCCATGGGGTGACACTGTCCTCAGGGAGGGGACCCAGAACAGGTCACACCGCTGTCCCCCGCTCGAGGGCGGAGCCTGCTGACCAGGGCGCCCCCACCCGGACGGCCAAGCTGGGTGCTGGTGGGAGAGAGAGGCCCCGGGCGTGGGTAGGGGGTCTGTGCAGACCCTGAAGGCTGAGCGCAGCTGTGCCCCAGGCCCAGGGTGGGGGCCTCAGGCCGTGGGTGAGGCTGACATGGGGCCCTCAAGTTGGGAGCCCCCAAAGCTGGGTCCCCGTGGGGCTGAGGAGACAGAAACCATCCACCCTGGCAGATTTGGGGAGCCCAGGCTGAGCACCGTGCCCACAGAGTCGCGGCTGGTGGACGGGGCAGGACCTGAGAGCCTGACTCCCAGGGAGCAGTGGCCTCACTGAGAACCACTGTGGGGTCAGTGGGAGGAGAGACGCAGACCGGCACAAGCTCAGGGTCCGGCTGGACGGTCAGGGCCACGGACAGCTTCACTGGAAACCCTCAGGTCCAAGTTAAGGTAGAGGAAGCACGCAGCCCCACACCACGGGGGTCGGGAGGGCCCTGCCAATCTTAGGACCCACAAGTCCCCCAGCAGTCAGAGAGATGACCGTCCACAGGGCCAGGGTGCCTGCTACTCCCCTCCTCGAGGGTGGAGCAGGTGAGGAGAAGGACCGTGAAAAAGTCACCCCGGAACCGCCAGGACTCCTCTCGTCCCCAGGGCGGTGCCGTCACCCATGGGGCACACCCGCCAGGTCGCAGAGTGCTCTCCAGGGACAGTCACCAAGGCCACCAGCGCCTTGGGTGTCGCCGGAACTGCTCAGGTGTTATCTCGGCTCCATTTCTCTGAAACCAGAACTGCTGTGGGACTGGCCCTGAGTTCACCTCGGGCATCGGCTCCCGACGCCCAAGTCGCAGATGCTGCTGGGAAATCACTGGAAGCATTAGTGGCTGGTGAGCATGGCACACGGCTGGTGAGGACCACTTTATGAGCCTCAGATTCGGGGGTACTCCCGTCAGGACGGTGGAGCAGGAGCAGCAGAGGCTGAGAGGCAGGTGCAGGTCAGCTGGGTGGCAGGGAGCTCTGCCCACGATGTCCTCGACTATGCAGATCCTACAAGTGCCGACAGTTAGGACGCAGGGGTCCAGGCCGAGCCTGCACTCTGGGCACCCACAGGTCACCTGAGCACCTGGGCGCCAGGGCCCCTGAGAAGGAAGAGAGGGGGCCGTGGGGGACCCCACAAGTGCTTGCGCACCCCCAGCCCCCACTCAGGATGCCCCCAGCTGCCAACCCGTGCTCCACGCACAGTTCTAACATGCTTGGCCATCAGCCTCCACCGTAAACAAAGTCAGAAGGACTCAAAGATACTACAAGTTACCCATCCAACATGGAGCTGGCCTCCTGCTTGGGCACAGGTGATAAGCCAGTAAACAAATGGGTCAGATCGGAAGCACTCGGAGCAGAAACTCAGGCGGGTGAGATCAGCTTAGAGGAGGGGGCCGTGGGCTAGGATCTCGGCGATGCCAGGGTCTTGGCCGGAGGTGGGGTGGCGGCACGGAACCACACGAGGTTCACGAGGTGGAGGAGCAGAGCCCCCCCAGCCCCAGCCGGGCTCGGCCGCTCATAACCTGCACCCCAAGAGCTGCGGCCTCGGCGCCGACCTGGGCTGCGGGTGGGTCTCCACTTAGGAATCTCTGGGTGCTGCTCTCAGCACAACTGAGCTCCTGTCCTGGGCACTCACCTCCACTGTCAACAGGTGCTACCTTAGTGCAACACACTGAATTTTAACAAAAACAGCAGGAGTGAGACCCTACGTCCAAGGTCACTCTCGTCCAGGGAAGAGCAGGAGGCAGGCGAGCAGAGAAAGAGGCCCCACACCCGTGTCTCTGCTCTCTGCCCTCCTGCTTCCCACGTCTGAGCTGCTTCACTGAACCCCTGTGCTGTTTCTGTGATGACAGAATGAACTTAACTGTGAAAGAAATGGGGACTCAGCCAGAGGTTTCTGGGATACGCAGGTGCCCAGAGAGACCCTTCCTCACTGACGTTGGCCTGCTGGGCCCTCCCTCCCTGCTGCCCCTCCGTCTGACTCCTCCCCAGGGAGGCAGCCCCCCCGCCACGTTCCTGCCCCCACACGCTTGGGGGAAACTCGGGGCGGGCTTACTCTTGCCCCCCTTCCCACCTGCGCTGCCCCACTTTTGTCAGGAGAAACAAAGTCACTTAGTAGAAGAGGCTGCCAGGTGCAGTGTTAAAGAGAGGGCCTCCCAGGTGTGGGCTGTGTGCCCTGCACCAGGTGTCATTCTGGCGGCTGCAGGTACAGTGGCCCGGATGCCCAGCTCCCTCACTGTGAGGGTTGTCGGCAGCCTGGGGAGGCCCCAACAGACTAAATTCACGTTCCAGTTTTCAACACCCAGGTTCCCAGACAAAAAACCAGTCTCTCTCCTGGCCCTCACCCACCTGCTTCCCTGCACGGACCGTGGACTCCTGGGTGCGTGCCTATATGGGAGGGAGGAGGAGGGGCACAGAGGGCGAGGACCCCAGCGTGAGGAGGTGGCCAGAGTCCCGGGACGGTCCTGTGAGATGCAGGCGCCAGCCCAGCAGCAGACGGGGGAAGGGGAACCTGCTCTCCGGGCAGGAGGGATGAGCAGGAGAGCAGGTGGACAGACCTGTGAGGTGGGGGGGGCCGGCGCAGAGTGCCGCTGGCCAGGTCCTGCTGAGGCACAGCAACCCCAGGGCTCAGGAGGAGAGGCCTGATGAAGTGCGCACAGTGGGTGTTTTACTGGATTCGCATTTTCAAAGGAGGCTTGGAGAGGCCAGGGCAGGCCTTGAGGGGGAGTGACAGACCACAGAGCTCCAGGAGCTGCAGGACCTGCGGGCCTGGGGAGCCTGGTCCACAAGTGTCCATCAGGCCCCAGGGACCGTCCTACCCAGGGGCGGGGCTGTCTCAGATGCCACGTGGTCCCCCCGCCCACCTCTCCCTCCCGGGCTGCCTATGCTCCAAAGAGGCACCAGGGTGAGGCCTGTATCAGAATGACTCTCCTGGACAAGGCCCTTTAGACTTGACTACTTGACTACCTGAAGCCAAACCTATAGAAAAGTTTACCCAGAACAGACCCTACACATCACGGTCACAGCTTCTGCATCCACACCAGCACCCTTCCCCCAGGGAGGCCGGAAATCCATAGTAGTGATGTGCTTGCAACAGGGCCGGGTGTGTCTGAGCCGGGCCAGGTGTGTCTGTGAGCAGGGCCAGGTGTGTCTGTGAGCCGGGCCAGGTGTGTCGGTGAGCAGGGCCAGGTGTGTCTGAGCCGGGCCAGGTGTGTCGGTGAGCAGGGCCAGGTGTGTCTGTGAGCAGGGCCAGGTGTGTCAGCGAGCAGGGCCAGGTGTGTCGGTGAGCAGGGCCAGGTGTGTCTGTGAGCCGGGCCAGGTGTGTCGGTGAGCAGGGCCAGGTGTGTCTGTGAGCAGGGCCAGGTGTGTCTGTGAG